ACTTCACCAAACAACAACCAATAAAAAAGCAATTAATACGTCATAGTGGTGGGGGGAGGCTTAGAACCGGCTCAAATCTCCTACTCCGGTGTCTCGTCAATATCGAAAGAGTGCTGTAGATGGTGACGTAAGGCCGCGTTATGTCGATGGACATAGGCCGAGACCGCGTATGCTGGACATGCTGATTGCATATGCTATTACTATTATTATTATCAATCGCTCAAAAAAGGCTCGCGTCAAGTGGTGTGAGGAAATGAATAAAAAGTTCGGCCATGCTTCAAAAGACGTGTTTATGGGCCAGAAACGAAGTCTTCGAAGAAATTCGTAAAACTAAATAACCGCCGCAGACGAATCATTCTTCATCATGATAATGCGAGCTCTCACTCATCTCGTCAAACAGGTGAATTTTTGAGCAGTCAAAACATCGAATTGATGACTCATCCTCCATACAGTCATGATTTGGCACCCAATACCTCTTTCTTATTCCCGAATATCAAAGGTAAACTGCGTGGTCAACGATTTACGAGTGCCGAAGAAACAGTTGAAGCGCTCAAAAACCATGTTTTGAAGGTGTCTCAAGAGGAATGTAAAAACTGCTTTGACAAGTGGTTTGAAGAAATGCAAAAGTGTATTAATCATCAAGGGAAATATTTCTGAAAACTATAAAGCCGTTTTCATTGAAAGAAAATGTTATTATTTGCCATTTCCGAAATACAAATAGTACCCCTCGTAACAGTGCTCCAACAAAACTGATTTTATTTTGAAACTGCTAGAATTCACGTTTATCACTTGTGTTGGTAATATATTCCATGAATCCAACTTTGAAGAGTTTCTGAACGAACTGGTAGGGTAGTCATGTTACATGGCTTGGGTATTATAATGAGCTTTCTGTTCATGATTGTGTAAAAGAGTGANAGGTCAAACTTGGAACGACCCCGCATGAGAAATCCATGGAAGTTCAGATGTATATATTGACTGCACCTGAACTTAATTCAACGTAAGTTTTGACGAAATTGGTTCAGTTTCAACAACTGGCCAGTAATTGAGTATAGTGACTTTATACCTAATCGGGTGTTTTTGATTTTTGTAGAATTGTTCAGGATATCGGCCCTACGAGGAATTATTATAATTGAAAATGTCACTGATACAGAGATGAATAATGACCCAAAAAAGTTTTTGATTATATATATTTCAATATGGTATATTTTCCGAAAACATTCGATTCCAAATTTTCCAACGAAATAGTATATGAACTGAAACGAGTGAAATTTCATTAATTGTCCAAGAAAATAATTTCCCTAACTTTATGTATGGGAGGAAGGGAAAAATAGGTCAACAGAGTTAAAAATTAACACAACGGGTATAATAATTCCTTATTCAGTTGTTCAAAATATATGTTTTTGAAAAAAATCAAGGAAAATAATTTCCTGACATTTATGAGTTCTAATCAACCATTATGAAAATCACCAACTCTCGAAAATTTGCATTTTGGAAAAATTATGTTTCAGTAACTGCTTCTGTTTAAAATTGTATAATATTCACTTTACTTAAAACATGCTGGAAATACAGAGTACAGCGCGATGACTAGCGCTTAGCCGTAATTGGGAAATAATAGGATTGATTTCCTGAAAATTGGCAAATATAGCATTGGCATGTTTGTCAACATGCTTTATCGAATGAAAATAATGGCTTGTTTACCAACACTTCCGGTTATACCAAGTTTCTTGATTAAAATGTAACACCCTATTCCAAAAATCAACCGTTCTCGAGAATTCCATTTGTTTACTCAAGAAAAATAGGTATTCGGCTCTGTAGTGATTCCTTATGGAATTGAATATAGGAATAATATTTCCAAAATGTAATACAATATTTTTAGAAACGATGACTAATTCTGAATGTATAAAAATGGTCCAAAACACAGTTTTTTCAAATGGAACACCCTATATTTTACGATAGTTTTGATATTCCAAGAATATTTTGACTCATTTTCATGAAATATTCCCTATATATAAAAAAATCACTATTCACGTGTTACTTCAGTTTTTATTGAAAAAATAAAACACGCGCATGTCCAGCATAAAACTACTGTATACGAAACCTTCATTTCCAACAGTTATAAAAAATTCATCAGAGCTATTGATTTACTGTCATGGTTTTTGTTGGAAACAAGATTTCAGATGAATAAATAATGAACTGAAAAATGTTTATTTTGAATGTTTCATAAAAGAGCGAAAATTCAAAAACATTGCATTGTCTTTTCACACAAAATATAAAAACTATTTCGAAATATGTTCGAAGAAATTTCCGTTACCTCCCAGGTATTCATTCTCTCTTCATCAAATTGTTATTTATGTGCTGTAAATGATTTCATCCATATCTAGGGTGTTTAATGCCTGTAAATATTTTTACAACCATATTTTCCTTAATTCTTGTATGATATTCAAAAACATTATTTTAAATATATCCCCTTACATAATAGTCCATAGGAGACAGATTGGGGAAACGTGTTGGCCAAAGATACGGCCCAATATTGGCAATCCCATGAAATAATTGATCAAGTAATAGTTTGCTGGCCAAACTTCGATGATGTGGCATGTTGGATCATTTTTGTGTATAGCTCTCCAACTTTCTGGAAGAACGTTCTTTCCAAGTTGCCGTCGATGGATATATCTCGAATTCTTTTACCATCATCGCTGGTGTTCCCCAGGAATCCATATTGTATCCAACCCTATTTGTATTGTATATCAACGAGTAATTGGAAAAAATCAAGAATCCAATATTTTGCTTTGCTGACGACAGAACACTTTCCTCGTTATTCCATTCGGATTCCAGGACATCGGCTGCGAATGGACATCTTTACCGGCAGTATGAGGTTGCGTATCTTAATGAGGATCTAGAATTGATTTTGAATTGAGGTAAAAGTAACCAGGTTCAATCCAATGCCACAAAAACCCAGGCATCGGTTTTCTCCAAGAAGATAAATGTCTCCGAAACGGTTATAATATGTTAGGACAGACAATTCCGCTTTCTGCTTCGATAAGTTTGTTGGGGGTTGAAATGGACACCAATATGTCTTGGCACAATCATGTCGCTAGAATTGGAAAGGCTGCTTCTCAAAAGCTTGGAACACTGTTCCAAACCGGAAAACTGTACATACCTCAGCAAATTTTGATGATGGACTTTTTGGAAGAAACCACTTGAAGTGTTTGTAAGCAAGCCTTCGGATCAAATCCGTAATCGGCTTGACCTTCGCTATGTCTCGTAAACGCTCCAATGAAATATATCGATCATTAACAATCACGATACGAAGCACCTTATACTGCATTGTCTCGAGTCTCCGCAACGGAGTCCTCTTAAGGCTACAGAACACAGGACAAGCGTACAACATAGCTGGCTTGATAATTTGCTTGTAAATCAGGAGCTTGTTGTCTACACTCAGTTTGAAATTTCGTGCACCGAGTGGGTAGTTTCGTTTAATCGCCGCTCCTGCTCTCCAAATTGCCAGACTCCAGGATAACTCCCAGATACTTCGCACGTTTCTGTTCTTCCACACACTTTCCTTGAATCGTCAATTTCCTGAAGATCTTCACGTCGGTGAATTTATTCGTGAAATTGACATGTTCAGTCTTCGACAGATTTAGCTTTATCTTATTCCTCTCCATGTACGGTACAACTAACCGATCCAGGTGAATCTGTATTTCGCGTGTTGCCATCTCACTAGAGTAAGAATGGGCATATATGGCAGTATCATCTGCATATATGCCTACATTCGTTTTTGCCAACATTGGAAAGTCATATGTATTCAGAGAGTATAGGTGTGGGGATAAACAGGACTCCTGCGGAACACCTGCTTTCATTGAAAATTCCGTAGAGATAGCTTAATGTATTCTTACCAGATAAGAATACAAGATTCTTAATCATGTATAAAGGCATGTGTGCCATCCACATTTTCGCGATGAATCCCTCTGTCCAAACGGTGTCAAAGGCTTTATGTATGTCCAACAGGACCATCACTGTATTCTTCTTCTGGTGAAAGGCCTCCTTTATTCCGTGGACCAGTCGGACAAGTTGCGAGGTCATGTTACGACCCTGCCTGAATTCAAACTGTTCCTCCGGAACAAGTTTCAGCCTTTTCTCCAGACGGAGAAGTCTGCTCAATAGGAACTTGTCCGCAATCTTGGCGACCAAGCTAAGTAGCGCAATCCTTCGGTAGCTCTCTCTTTGGTTCTTTGGTTTTCCTGACTTATGAATGGGTTTTACCTCCGCGCGCTTCAGGCAGTCTGGGTAATGTTGCAATCTGATTATCCCGTTGATGATACGTACCATTTGTACGAGACCTTTGCGCGGCAAGTTCCGGAGTAGAACTGCTCCAATGCCATCGCTGCCAGGTGCCTTGTGTAGTGGCATGCGTTTTATAGTGGCTCTTACCTCCTCAAAGTAGGTGAGGATTTTGGCAAGATCTTCACCGTTTAGGCGTGGCGGAGGCATTGAACGCACCCTTCTCGCCGTCTCGGTGATGTTTCTATGCTCTTCGGTGCTGTCTGGCGTTGTTCGGGAAACATTATGGAAATATCCGCAGAACACTCTGGCCTTCTGAACGTTGGTCACTCAACTTTCATTACCTCTCTCTATGGTAGTCAAGGGCTCGTATCTGTTGTCAAGACGTTGCTCCATCCTCCATAAAGAGTTGTCCTGAACGTTAAGTCTCTCCAGTTTCTCCCTCCACTGAGCATTGGAATCCACCAAAAGCGGTTCACATTAAAATACGAGACGGACTGTGGCTGTCCTTCGTTTTGAGGTTCAACTCAGTACACCTTCACTGTTTAAGGAACTCTTCCATTTGGAGAACTGAGTTTATGTGGAATAAAATTCTTGAGGACGTTTTTCCAAATGAATTTAATCTTCAGCAATTTAAATCCAACGTGAATCGCTACTTTCGCACAGGCACCGCTTTTAGACCGCCTAAAAATTTTCCTGTAGTGCTTGTATTTTGTCCTTGAAAAGGCGATGCTCCATACTGTTCGTACCCAAATATTTTTCGCATCTTCAATTGATAAATTATTCACTGTAACTCTCACAACATTTTGTGATATGTCACAGTATCCTTTATTATTCAAATTTTCATCATAGATGTACAAATACAAAATCCTATTGTTCTTCATAGCACAATAAAGGTTAAAATCCAAACTTTCTTGGAAATATTGGTCACGGGTAAAGTGTGGACTCTTATCAGCCCAAAACTGAGTATTATGACGAATGGATAATCCATTTATAGTCAACTTACCTTCATCACCTCATAAATTTTTTTTGAGAAAATGTGGATTTTCCTGACTTCTTATCAGCAATCACTCACAAAACTCAATTCGACGATGCAGGTCCGTGTCTCCTCTCCTAATATTCATTAATACACCAAAGGTTCCAAACAGTGCATCACAAAAACAGTTAGAATAATCATTTTAAACACCTTGTATAACATTTTGGAAATATTACTCCTAAAAGACAATGGAATGGAGTATTTCGATGAATCAATGATATCTCAATTATGTAGGTATTCTATCAAACTTTTCAATTTTTTGGGGGAATCACTAGAGAGACGAATACCTAGTTTTTTGGAGTAAACAAATGAATTCCTTGAGAACGGTTAATTTTTGGTATAGGGTATTCAAAAATGTGAAAAAATACAGGGTGTTACATTTTAATGACGGAAGTTGGTATTTGGAACTTCCGGTGTAACGGGAAGGGTTGGAAAAACGTCATTATTTTCATTCGATGAAGCATAATCAAAAACCTTCCCCACAATTTTCAAGATATGAACCCTATTTTTACCCAAAATACGGCTAACCAACGGTCCTCGCACTTTACCCTGTATATTCTCAAAAAACTAGTAATTTGAAATGGAATAGTGAAAAAAACTTTTGCGCTTGAGGTTAACTATTCATGTTACCGATATCTTGAGTTAGTGAAAAATTTCAACTATTCACTTGATTTGAGGAGGAAAACGCTTACAGTTGTTCTAAACTTCAACTACTTCAAAAACAACTATTTTTCAGGCAAGTTTTCCTGAACGGAAAACCACTCACCTCGGAAATGCTGAAGGAAAAAAATATATTCGAACCAAAAGTACGCAGGGCAAAAACAACATCTCATCTATCTCTTTCTCTACCAGCATGGTCTGTCGGTTTCTTCGTCTTGCCTGGAGCGAGAGTTCCAGTTTGTATCGACCAAGAGATAGAAACAAAACTGCTTCTCGAAGAAATGGAAGAAAACCAAAACATTCCTTTATCTGAAGAAGTGGCTTTGAAATTTGGTTCTAGAGGTTCATTTGTTAAAAACCACGTATTGGATGAAATGACTAAAAAAATGAAGCAAGAGATGATGTCTGACGAACGATACTATAGTCATCCATCGCTAAAATCTAGGTTGGAAGATTCTGAGGAGATGGAAAGTGCTAAAAAAGAGAAAATAGATGAAAGGGGAAGAAAGTTCTTCATTGATAGGGCGAAGCTGGCAGAGAAACATAAGAAACATAGAGACTTTGAGAGAAAGCGAGATGAACTGAAAAAGTTTCTCATGGAACGGTCGAAGACCGGTGAAACCAAACCAAAAATGGAATCGAAAGGTAAAGAAATACACTTGACTAGTAGCGAAGTGGAAAAAATCTTGAAGGACAGAGCAAGGGCTAGAGCTGCACGTAGAAATATTGTTTTCACCGATGAGGAACTCAGAGCTCTGGTACACAAAGCTAGTAAAAAGTTTTACAAAGCCAGAATAAAACGTTCAACTCCTTTTCAAAACAGAGCCAAAAGAGATATCAATGTGAGAATGTTAGAGAGAACCGTTCAACTGAACCCTTCCTGCGAAAAACTTACAGAAGGTCAGCAATACGATAATGAGGAAATATCTCGTAATTCTTTCGTGCGTGAACCTAGAGATGTGAATGCAAAACTGGTAGAGTTGAAGGCAAAACTAGCAGAAACTAAAAGCAAATGGGAAGATAAGAAAGATGAGTTTCGAGGTAATACAAAAATGGCGAGAGAGTCCATCAAAGACAGAATACGAAAGCTAAAGGATAAAAAACGTTTCAAAAGAGATATAAACATGGAACTACTTGACGTTAAATCAAAACCAACCAAGAAGATGGAGATGGAGAAGAGAAGACAAAAGAAGAAAAAAACTGAAATGGAGGCAACAATACGTGAACCAGGTCAATCAAGTGCTGAGCTTCTCGAACAATTGGAATTTGAAAGAGGACAATTAGATAATCACAGAAAACAACCTAAACATGAAGTATACGCAGAGTTGGCAGATTCTGAAGACCTAGAGGCAGAGGAATTTTTCAAAACAACACCGAAACCGAAAAGACTCAAAATTTTTGATAAAAAGTCCAAACTAGACCCGTTCGGCATTCCGAACCCTTCTATAGATATTGTAGAACCTCCTTTCAGGAGATCGAAGAAAGGGAGGAAGAAATCGAAGTCGAAATCGGATAACCTTCAGTTCTTGACTTCTTCAGAGGAGTTTTCGGACATCGAGGATGATCTGCCATGCATTCACGAATATTTTGGCCCTGAAACGAAATCAGAACGTAAGAAGCATGGTAATGTGATGACAGAGTTGGGGGAATTCAGTTCTGCTGAAAAACTTAAGAGAAAAAAGAATAGAAAAACGGTAAGTTTATGCATAATCGAAATATAAATTCATTTCCAGATCCATAGTTCAATTTCATCATATTTTCACTCTGAGTTTTTCTTAACATTTCATCCAGACTAATAGTTGGCTTTTTCGGGAAATAGTCTGTGTCAGCAGAATATGCAACAAATCATTATTTTTTTCCTTCCTATTATGTTACGAATTTTCTTAGAGGGGTAGTATTCTATGGACTTCACGTTCTGATAGACAAAACAGATTTTCTTTAGACAAAATGTTATTCCACTGAAGTCCTCTGATTTTAGGAATACCTCAAATTCCGAACTAGAAAAGATATTGAATTCATCACAAATATTGACTCGACCATGAAAATCTTGTTTATTGATATTCAGTAGTATTGAATAGGAAAAAAACGCTATTTTCATAGACAGTTTTCCCTCAAAAATCATCACAACGTTGAGTTATGTGATGCGATTGGCCGATTCTCGATGACAATCCACAGGTATTTAAGTGACACTTTATCGTGAGATTTTCAGTGGACAGCTTACAAAATCGCAACACGTTTTTCAATATACACAGTGTTTCCTATTCGATCCTCATCATTGGGATCTCGGAAACTCTGAGATATACGAAAATGGTTAAATTGAGGCAAAGTTGTGCATTTACCTGACTAACAATATACCGTGGAGAAAGTTCTGAAATTCCGAGTATATCCGGAGACATCCGGAAATAACAGAAGTTTCGGAAAATGGTTTTTATTCTTTTCGGGCTTTATTTTACGAAGGATTCGCACATAATGGTGTTTTCAGACTTGCTATCCGACGTTTCGTCTTCCGGCCACCATCATCAACTTTATTTTTTCTTATGGGCGCTACAATGGATTATTTTTGTTTTGAATAGAACCAGGTTTTACCTTTCCAATGATGTATCATTCTTTTTTGAGAAATTGGAGATATTGAAAAAAATTAATTCTTATCATGATAAGCTTTGACTTTGATGTTTCTAAATTTGACTTTCAATTTGTTACACTCAATGACATTTTGTTATTGTACACGTCATTGAATTTTTGGCGAAAACTGGCTTTCTCGAAAGAGAAAAAAAGAGATGATACAAATTTATTACAAATACGATAGAAACATTTTAGTTATTTATTGTTTTTTGTTCAAAGTTCTATTTTCATTGAAAAGGACACAATATCTAATTTAGGTACCTCATAAACACCTCATTCATCAATTGTTGATTCTGTCTCCGTACTTTTTCATTGGCTTTTCAAACTAACCAAACTCGATGAGATTTTGATCCAATAACTTGAACATAGTCCGATGTGGTTGTCGCCTCTCGGGAAACAAGTTTAAATACATTTCCGATGTCCTAACACTGTTTCTATCGTATTTGTAATACATTTGTAACATATCTCTTTTTTCTTCATTCGTGAAAGCCATGACCCAATAACACAATATCATTGAGTGTAACAAATTGAAATTCAAATTTACAATTGCCAGTTTGGTATCCAGAAGCGGCATATCAAACTTTTTTGCTCTTCTAGCAAGTAGCCAGCTATTCACGGCAACCAAGTCGATGAAATGAATAAAAATGCGCAAATAGTATTTTTTTGACCTTATTTTTATACGATAGAAACCCAACATCGCATCTAGAAGGTCCACTCCAACCATATACTTATTATAAATGAGGACACTCTTTGGACAAGGTATCATCTTATGTGCATTCTCTTGCTTGAAAAATCTCCGCTTTTTTCCTACTGATTGACTTCCTGCATACGTTAACAAAGTGGTGACTACTTTTTTATCAAACCAAGATACAACACTAATGACCTCACCATCTATAGTAGCAAATTTTTCAACTAAATGACCTCTTCCTTTTTTTTTTCATTTCCTTCTCGGAAGGCATTGCAACTCCTGGGACTCGATTCAATCTCACCGTCCCTAAGGGTAGTATACCTTCAGTAGTCAAATAAGTCATGAGTGGAACACTGAAGAACCAATTGTCAAAAAACAATTTGAAATTCTGATGTCTTGGTATAGATTCAGATAGCTTCACAACAACATTACTACTAACACTGAGAGTTGGAGCTCCTAGAGGTACAGTATTGCTTTGTGCTCCTGCAAATAGATCAAAATCATAACTAAAGCCAGATATACCCCTGAGGACAACATTTTTGAAACCCCATTTATGTGGTTTCTTCGGATTATATTGTTTGAGTTGTGTTCGAGCTTTTGTTGGAATAATCTGTTCATCTACAGCAAGATACTCTTCTTTCGGAACTTGCAGTAACCTTTCTCTTATTTGGGTAAGAAATGGCCTAATATTGAACAATTTATCGTATCCAGTTTGACTGTTTCCAATCATGTCATCATTGTTGTTGAAGTGTAAGAAACGTTTTATCTCTTCAAATCCATTACAGCTCATCACGTCAGGCAAATCCTGGGAACCAGTGAATTTTATCTTTTCTTTAGATTTTTCGAGATTTCCTTCTACCCAATGGTATACTTTTTTTTTCTTTTTTTTTCACGTCGTTTTTGTATTGTTGATAAGGGTATATTATCATCTGAAAAATCAAAGTCATCAAATTCTCGATTCATGATACTGGCAACATCATTGTCTAAGGGAGTTTCTCCAAAATTACTATCCACAGGTAATTCAACATCTGAAAGGGGTTCATCATCCTCATCAGATAAATCGGAATCTTCACTATCGATACAAGGAATTTTTACGGCAGTCATCTTGCCATAAAATACCTTGTGATTCATACCTGAAAACATGATCATATTGTCAGGATGATCCATCATTGCATGATGTGCCATATAAGGTACATACTTGTTTCCAGAATTGTTCATTAGTTCTGAGAAACTTTTCACTACTGAACTTACCTAGAGATGTTTTTAATATCACTGTTGAACACTCTATAATTTTTTCTCGGTAGAAAAATACTTTCAAACAAGAGTAAATGGACAGCAAAGATCACCCCAAGCGTGACAAATGGAATTTCTAACAAGAATGAACTTGAAGACTCCTTCCAATGCACTCGTTGATAAAATAGTCCGGCCGTGATGTGTATGAGATAGATTGGTTCGTGACAGATATGGTCATGTATGAAATGACGACAAAATTCCTTCTCAAGTATTATAAATCAAATAATTTTCGCTTTGTACCATATTTGGCACATGATGCGGTAAAGGGTTAAACCTCAATTTGAATGAAATTATCAAAGGATACCATAGTACTGAGGGAGTGATGGCCATACATACTTCTGGGTCTTATTGCCTTTTTTTGTACCATTTTTATTTTTTTTCAATGCTTATTCCTTTTGGCTGCAAGGATGGCGTATATCAGAGTATTCTGTGCAGTTTTCTGGCAACCAGTTTGAGCAAAACTTACTCATCATCCAGTCTTCAGCCTTATAACTTTCATAGCAGTTCTTCGTCATATCCTTTGCACTCGTTTTTAGAGTCAAGTTCGTCATTGTACCCATCCAAATTAGATTCACCACTGTCGAAAATGAACTCAACTTCACTGCTGGATATTGACTCAACAGTTTCCTTAAGCTATTTTCTTTTCCTGCTTCTTTTGTCACGGTCTCGACTTCATTTTTTTTTCTTCCAGTGAATTCTGTTTTTCTTTTTGTTGACGTTTTTGTACATTTTCAACAGATGTGAGTAAAATGACAATCTGTTCTGCTCGCTTTTTAGCTTGATCTGTTTTTTTACTGATTGGAATGGGCTGGGTCGCATCATAGAGTAATTGTTGTGAGCTTTGATGTGTGCTGGACAAGCCGGTTTCTGATGTACAAGTAACAGTCGGGGAGTTTGAAATGCTCAAAGGGTTGATTATTGATGCCGGAGTTTCGAGTTTATTAGTAACAGTTCCAGAATCTTCGAGGATTGGCTCACCGCAAGGCGTTTATTCACCTTTCGAAGCATTCTTACAGGTCACTGTCATTTGAATCATCATATGCATAAACTGGGACTGTCGGAAGACAATGTGTGTCGCCTCTCTTTGGAAAATGATGAAATAGCATCGGCAGAGCCGAACTCTTACCATCTGACCTGAAAGACCACCATACAAAATAATCGGCTTCGTTAAGAAGCTGGGTTCATTTGGTCGAGTTGAATAGATGTAAGCCACAATAAACCCTTGCGGGTTGCGGTGGACTGTCGAATAGACCCACTCACTTTGGACCTAACCTAATCTAACCTAGTTGGTTTTCCTTTTCTTGTAAAGGTAATCCATATGCATATTCAGGAATTGCTGATCGATTCAGGGGAATTGCACATGTGGATTTAAAAGCTGAAATGGTGTTTTGTGAATTGGCTGCTTTACTCCAAGCTCCACTCAGTAACTCACCAAATTGAAGTCTCGCAATGCGACGTCCAGGATTTCGCTTCAGCCATATTCAGCATGATTCATAGAAGAATGTTTTTGGAGATTCAAAAACTTCTCTATTTAGTGGTTCTACGAAGTTACAGTGAGTACAATGACCGTCTGGAAGCAAGAAAACTTTTAGTCTAAAAACCCGAAGGGTTTTGAGAATGAAAGTGATTTTTCAACCACTCTAAAAAGATTTATCGGTTAATATTTGCTGACTTTGGTACATAGCAGGCAGGGTCCAGGTGACATACCATCTTGAAACTCTGGTTTCCTATTTTTACCTTTCATAATGCATGCTGACAGTATAAAAACTCCTTCTGCATTACAACAAGCAATTACAGGGATTGTTCCACCATTTTCTGTGAAGGTGACTGTTGAAAACGCTTTTGAATACTTCTTAGCAAATACGTCATTTTGCCGTATTGTTGCAGACTAGTTTCGTTTATGTTGAATACATGACCTGGTTTATCAAAAAGTTCATTTTCTTGCAAAATCTCTTTCAACAGTTTGAAATAACTACTGACTTCAGTTTCATTCATACCCTAAGCTTTTGCTATTGATACACTTTCTGATTTCAATGATCTCAATGATATGCCAGGATGTCTAGATAAGAACTTGCTTAGTCAGTCATAGCCAGCTGTATCTGTATCTACAGAGTAGGGAGGGTGAGTATAGGCCCGCAGCACTTAGGCCACATGTGACCCATTGTACATCCTCCCAAGGAGTTGTCCTCCTAGGCCATCGTCCATCCTGTCTTTTCCAGGAAGGTGGACAGGTTACTGGGAGAGACATATCCTTTATATCGGCAGGTGTAGGCCAAGACTCGCCGAACACACACTCTCTAATTGACGATAACTCCGGACATTCGCAAGGGACATGCCTGACAGTTTCATCTTCCTGTTCACCAATCTGCATATAGGTGTCCCCACCAGCTCGATATGTGGAGGTGTTTCCTTAGTTGACAGTGGCCAGTCAGAAATGCTTCTGTTGAGCGTAGATTTTTCCTGGTCATCGCCAGATATTTCTTCGGCGCCAGCTTCCCAGGGTCTCCAAGGGTATTCCTGGCAAGATTGCATTCTTTAATTTCATCCCATCGCTTTAGAGATTGAGTATGGGTGTGACGTTTGGCTAGTTCCTCAATTGTCGAAGTCATCAGGCCGTAGGTGCCACTGGGTCCTAAAATTCTTAGTCCAGCCGCTTCCTTGGCTAAAGAGTCGGCAATGCGATTACCTTTACTCCTGTCGTGCCCTTTAACCCACCTCAGGATAATGTTATTATCTACCGAGGCTTTGGCTAAATCTTGGTGGCACTCTAGTACTAGCCCTGAGGTAACACGTTGTCTGTTCAAGGCTAATAGGGCTTGTCTGCTATCAGTGCAGATTGTTATGTTTTTGCCAGAAATTCCTTTTCTGGTTATTTCTTTTGTGGCGATTGAGATACCAGCCAGTTCTGTTTGAACCACGCTAGTATTTTTTCCCATTATCCACTTAATCCTTAGGCTCAGTGATCTGGAGTACACTCCCCATCCTGAGCTTTCCTTGGTTTTTGAGCCGTCTGTATATATGCGTATTGCATTTATAGCATCTGACTCTGTGTTCTGTTTTATTTGTATTTTGTAGGGTTTATTAAACACAAACCTGGCTTCAATTGCATCCCTGGTTGCCGGCAGCAGAGGTTGCACTATAAGCGCTACTCGCCATAGGCTCAGCCTCAGTTGACCCATTCCTACTTCGAGGTTTATACCAGCCAGCTTTTAAGGTTATTCCGTTGAACTTATGTTCTATTTTAAGTTGAAGAGCAAAACAATACGCAATGCTCGAACATCATCAAGCGTCAGGGGAAATTCATGTTCCTGCATTCTTTTAGTATGTTTGACTAGGCGATTTTTGTTATCATTTCCAAGAACACGAGAAGGTCTCATATTCCCCTTTCTATAATTTTTACACTCAAGTCTCATTTTCAGTGTTTTTCGAAGAATACCATATGAAGAAGTTGCCTTTCGAACCGTTCTGAATCGTTCTGAACAGATTGTAGATTGTCACTGCTCCCCTGCCCAATTGCCACGAAGAAGAACAAAAGCACGTTTGTAAATAACAACAAATAAAACATTAATTTGCAAAAAAAAATCCCAATATGGCCATAATACTCTGAGCGGGTGAGATGGCCACTCCAATAACACAAGTTATTACGTGCCACTTCATTGAAAAGTTGTAAAAACATACAAGTTTTAAGTACTTGCTCGCGAATTAAGTACTTGCTCGCGATGCATGAAAACAAAAACACTGCAATAAATATAAAAATGTATATTGCTTACCTTTTTTGCGTTTTTTGCAGTAGGTGAGGAAACTCAAATAAGTTGAAAAATGGTTGTCTTATTTAGTGAGGTTATGTGAATCATTAGTTTGGTCATTTGTTTTTGCTTTTCATGACCTTCCGACTTCCGAAGAGTATGAAATTGCTTCAAGTAGCATTCGACGTGAAATATCATGCATTTTCAATTTTTACTTTCTTCCTGAAGTTATAGGAAATTTATTGTACAATTCAACCAATTCATAAGTCAAAACTAGCTTCAGTGAACTATTCAGCCCTTTGATTTTTCAAAATTGTTGAAGATCTGATTATTTTCTATTTGACAATTTTTCTTGAAGTTTACTAGAAATTTAAAAATTTTGTTTGAACCCCTTCACGTTTTTTTTTCACAAATCGATAGAATGAAATATTTTTATATCCACAATGGATTCATGTTTTCCAAAAACCATTCAACTCAGAAATGAGTTGACTCAATGTAGCCCTTGAATTGGTTTTGGATTCTTCCTTCCTCATCAGATAACATCATCTGCCCCAAGATTTTTTAAAAATATTGGTGACTGAAAATACTTACTCTAATTGGATCAACAAAATTGTTGTTTTCCAGAAAAACTTTTCCGAAGAAACATCATCTGAAGAAGATTCCAGACGTCGAAAACGAAGTGTCTATTTAGAGCCTTACAATCCAAATGAGTCATCCGAATCTAAGAGCAGACTGGAATATCTAGACTCATTTTTGGAAAAGATGAACTTGAAATGTTCTGAATGTGGTAATCAACAAGATTATTCAAATGAGAAAGGAGATGATGATAGAATAGAACGACCAAAACGAAGCTTATACCTCAGAAATGGTCTACAAAACCCCGCAGAGTTAATCAGAGATTTGAATGAACATTTAAGTGAGGAGGGAAGTGAAAGTGCAGAAATAGAACGCCAAAAACGAAACGTATATCTCACGGAAGGATCTCCCGATTCTACAGAGTTCATTGAAGGTGTGGATGGATATACAAGAGCAGACATCAAACTCAACGAGGAGTCAGAACGTTTCAAACGTGGTATGTTTCTTGGAAAAGAATCGAAAGATTCCACAAAGCTGATCAAAAGGGTGAATGAACTGGAGACGTTATTGGAAGATTTGGAACAAAAATATAAGGAATGTATGTCGCAGAGAAATGACCAGTTTGGAATGAAAGCGTCCCATTCAAGTAAAAAAGAACTAAATGTGAGTATATTGAAATAAACATTTTTTATAATGATTGATATTAGACATATGACCAGAAAATCATCAATCATTATGCACATTTCTGCAATTGAATTTGCTTCTTAAGGAATTTAGATGATAATATAATTTTTTTCTGAAACTTTCATTGGGAATGGCACAGCTCATTTCATTAGTGTGAAGTTACCCATAACTTTTCATCCACAGTTTATGACGAGGGAGAATCGAACAGGGTTTAGAATGAGATTTGCAAACAATGTTGCCAGATTGCAAATATTAAAAATTTTACCTGTATTTCGATATTTCCTGAGTATGAAAAGCGAATGGTAGTCTGTGATGAAATTGGTCTGTTTTCAAATGCAACAATAAATAGATTTCTTGTATCTCGAATCGAGTCACCACCAAAATACCACTTTAAAATTTGTATCTTTTCTTCCTTTCTGAGCGTGAACATTTTAGAGTTCACAAGAAATTATTTTATTTTCAATTATGACTGATTTGCTAACTACAAGTACTAACGATTAGTTGCAACAGTGCGGAAAGGGGAAAGGTGGTTCAATCAAATAGTTGATATTCCATCGCGAACAAATCTCTAATTTTGAACTGGTCGACTGATTTCGCGGACACAGTCCAGAATACATTGGGATCTATATGTTCCGATATTTATATTCCACATCTGTGTATGCATAAGCTTGAGATAAACTTACTTATACAATTTATTGTAAGATTTTCACTGTTCGACACGTGTTTTGCTATACAATAGCTTTCTCGAGCACGAATAATAAATTAATTTTAAAATACAACCAACAATTTTATACTATTTTGTTGCTAATTCTCGGAGTGTATTTGAGTACCCTCCTGATGAGCAACAAATGTAAAACACTTTTCTTTTCCAAGAAAACCAGTTTCAAGATTCTAAGAACGAGAAAAATGAAAGAAAAATTAAAAATCAGCCGATTGGTTTCAAATATTTCATTGCTAATACTTAATGTGTATTCGAGTATACTCCTGGTGAGCAACAATTTTGAAACACTTTTTATTCTAAGGGAAACCAGTTGCAACTTTTTTGTTGCTGATACTCAAGGTGTATTTGAGTCCTCATAATAATAGTCCAAGTAGTATGATGGGTGGGTGTAATAAACACAGAATTATACTGTGAGTAAAACTGTATTCATAAACTGTTTACAACTAATTAACGAGTGATTTAATCCTGTTTGGACCAATATGTCAGATCGACTGATTGTGTTCGCGGAAGAATATCACTCGGCTGTTCGCCACAGTGTTGCCAGACTCAATCGGTGGTACCACAGTCCGTATTCCAAAAAATACTGGTTTCAAGATAGCAAGAACAGGACGAATAAAAAAAAATTAAAAATCGGCCGATCAAGGTAAATTATTTTGTTGCTGATTCTTGGAGTGTATTTGAGTATACCCCTGGCGAGCAACAAATTTGAAATACTTGTCATTCTAAGAAAAACCAATATCGAGCAAGATCGAGGAAAAAGCAAAAAAATAAAATAAAAATCGGTCGATCGGTTTCAACTATTTTGTTGCTGATACTCAAGGTGTGTTTGAGTGTACTCCTGGTAAGCAACAAATTTGAAATACTTTTTATTTAAGGAAAACTAGTTTCAAGATATCAAGATCATAAAAAATTAAAAAAAAATCTTCTGTAAAGATCAAAGGAAAAGTATATAGTTCATTGAGTTACCTTGCTACCTTCATATCACGATAGCATTATTTGCGATTTCTAGGGATCGGCACAAGCAACAAAATCGTTGTTTTGGCAACTAATCAGCTACAAATTGATGTATTTTTATTTGTAATTTTGCTGGATTCGCCATGCTAGCCTGATAGGGCTGATAGATATACTTTCGAAGAATATATTCTGAAATTTTCATCAACAAACTATTTTTGATAAGTGAGAAACTGGACTTTTTTGACTAATTCAGTTCCGAATATACGGAACTATTTTTTTTCGCACCGAAGGAACGTATGTTACGCAAATTTGTTCAAGAACATCGATAGATATACTTTTGAAGAATATATTCTGAAATTTTCATCGACAAACTATTTTTGATAAGTCAGAAATTTGACTTTTCTGAGTAATTCAGTACCGAATATACGGAACTATTTTTTTGGACCGAATAAGGAACGTATGGTAGGTACACAAATCTGTTTGAACACGTCGATAGATATACTTTCGAAGAATATATTCTGGAATTTTCATCAACAAACTATGTTTAATAAATGAAAAATTTTATATTTTGTGGACGAGTNTTTCAGAAAAAAGTTTACTAAGGTTTCTGTTGTTGAATGTTGTTTCAATGAATGAAATAAATAATCATCGAAATCTAAAATCAACCAGTTTACGCTTTTCTATTTTTCACTTCCGGAGACTGATGTTTTTTTTTTATTTCAGAATGACATGACACCAACGCCAGAGTATCCACTTATTTAGTTACACCCTGTATATCGTGTTTTTAAAATGATAATATAGAAACACAGGTAAAATTCTTAATATTTGCAATCTGGCAACACTGTTTCCAAATCTCATTCTAAACAACATAAACTGTGAATGAAAAGTTGTGGGTAACTTCACACTAATGCTCATTTCTACCTATTCACAGTATAATTCATGGAATTTAAAGAGTAAGCTAATGCATGGGGTCTTCTTCAACATCATTGAAGACCTTGGCCTATCAAAGAATCTGACCTTCATTTTCCTCAAGTCGTGTGGGCTGAAGTCGGAAACTGAAAGGTTTAATTATCATGGCGTGCCAGAATCTAGCAATAATAATGGGTTTGAAGTAATAAGAATTGATACTTGTGATGCATTGTTTGGAACCTTTGGTGTAGTAATGAATATTACTGGAGTAATTTCCCCCAACACCAAACCGTTATTTTAACACCTCGACACGTGTTTTGTGTCATCATAAGAATTGATAATCATTCTGAAATATTTAAAAAAATTGTAAAGGTAATTGTGATTGATGAATACACTGTATCGAATATTTCTGCCCGAACCGTAACTTCAACACGTTAGTCTACTGCAGTCACGCGATTGGTATAGAGGTTCCTGACACAAGGTACAGAGCATGTCGCGAGGCTTCTGAGACCCTGAAGCACTTGCTGTCAGCATGTCCAGCATATGCGGTCTCAGCTTATTTACATCGACATAACGCGACCCTAAGAGTGTTTCATCATTACCTACGGCACTTATACGATATTGATGAGATACCGGTGTTGCCCTACTCTCCGGAGAATATTGAATCCGTTGTGGGAAACGAGAAGTGCCCAATTAATGTGAACTATTCATTACCCACCCTCAGGCTCAGGCATGCTCATGAGCCTGATATAGTTTTTTCCACCATCAGACCGAGACGATATTTGTTTTGGAGTTTTCAGTTCCTGACGAGACGAATATTGTCTGAAAAGAGGAAGATAAACGGAAAAAATATCAAGATTCTCTCTTCGAACTCCATAGATTCAATCCAGACCACTCAGTCAAGATGGCTGTTTTGAATTATTGAATTCTTTGGTGGAATGATGCCCTACTCTCGAATCGCAAGATCATGTCGCATTTAGGAAGAAATCTTAGCCGGTCACTGCGCTTGCTCGGACCTAATGATCACTAACAATGCGGAGAGTGGGGCTACGGGAGATAGGGCTTGACCAGTGTATCTGTATCTGTAGAGTAGGGAGGGTGAATGTAAGCCCACAAAGCTAAGGCCACGAGTGACCCATTGTACATCCTCCCGAAGAGTTGTGCTCCTAGGTCATCGTCCATCCTGTCCTTTCCAGGAAGGTGGACAGGTCACTGGGAGACATCTCCTTTATATCGGCAAGTGTAGGCCAAGGCTCGCCGAACACACACTCTCTTATTGACGATAACTCCGGGCACTCGCACAGGACATGCCTGACAGTCTCATCTTCCTGTTCACACATCCTGCATAGAGGTGTGTCCACTAGCCCCATATTATGTAGGTGTTTCCTTAGCTGACAGTGGCCAGTCAGAAATCCTACTGTAAGGCGTAGATTTTTCCTGGTCATCGCCAGATATTTCTTCGGCGCCAGCTTCCCAGGGTCGCCCAAGGTGATCCTGGCAAGATTACATCCTTTGATTTCATCCCATCTCTTTAAAGATTGAGCATGGGTGTAACATTTGACTAGTTCCGCAATTGTCGAAGTCATCAGGCCGTGGGTGCCACTTGGTCCTAAAATTCTTAGTCCAGCCGCTTCCTTGGCTAAAGAGTCGGCAATGCGATTACCTTTACTCCTGTCGTGCCCTTTAACCCACCTCAGGATAATGTTATTATCTACCGAGGCTTTGGCTAAATCTTGGTGGCACTCTAGTGCTAGCCCTGAAGTAACACGGTGTCTGTTCAAGGCTAATAGTGCTTGTCTGCTATCAGTGCAGATTGTTATGTTTTTGCCAGAAATTCTTTTCTTGGTTATTTCTTTTGTGGCGATTGAGATACCAGCCAGTTCTGTTTGGACCACGCTGGTATTTCTTCCCATTCCCCACTTAATCCTTAGGCTTAGTGATCTGGAGTACACTCCACATCCTGAACCTTCTTTGGTTTTTGAGCCATCTGTATAAATCCGTATTGCATTTGTAGCATCTGACTCTGTGTTCTGCTTAGTTTGTATTTTGTAGGGTTTATTAAACACAAACCTGGGTTTAATTGCCCGACCATTGTGACCTTGGGGAAATAAGTCATATATAACAATTGTGATAACAAAGTCTCAGTTCTCCGGCTTAAAGTTAATTACTTTCTTCCTTTTCTCAGAAGTTTCAAACATTTTTGGTGAAATAAGAAGTAGAAAGAAGTTTTTTTAAAATAACTTCCACCAGATATTTTCATTCAGAAGAGTCATTAATAATGACACTGCTGAATGGGGAGTTCCATTATGAAAATTCCATGATACAGAACTTTTTTGTTATAAATCTATGCTAATCATCTGATATGATATTTCGTATTGGACTGTAAGTATTGGAGTATAATATTATTTCAAATAATTTGGGGAAACTGCAAGGTGTTAAAATAGCTCTGGAGTTTTTTTATTATGTTATGTCACCCTTTTCTAAAATTGGGCATTCTCAACTTTTTTCCAAAGTTCACAAGTTTTCAAAGAAACATTGAATATATGAAGTAGGGGACTCAGTAAAAGGTGAATGAAATCTTCAACTACCATTTATGTTGAATACAGTGACGTGAGGGGCAAATATGGAAATATTAATATTAAATAAAAAATTCAAGTGCGTCATATGAAATGAGAAAAATCATTTCGGTTTTAACTTATTTGCTGCGCAAAATCTGCAAACATACATTAGTTTAACAATAAAAAAAATGTGAATGAAATTATTGAAATGGTTCACTGGATGAAAAGTGACATAAATTCAGTTACTGTGAATCAATGAGTAATTTCCGAAATCATTAATTCAAGAGACATATAAAGTCATTAGATTGAAAACTGTGAGTTGTACAGCCTTAGCCAATAGAAACTTTTTCATAACAAACGTAACGTTCTACAACTGCTTTACACTCAAGTTGAAGTTGCTACAACTGAAGAAAAAACAAGAGCTTGAGCTGGCAAACGAAGCAGTGGAGGTCGTTTCCAAAATACATAAAAATGAAACTGAAACTGGTTATGACATATTAGAACATCTCCGAAAGATTCAAGAAGATCTGAGACACAAAAAGGAGAAGTTGGATAAACTATTGACGAAGGATTTGAAACCCCAGGACAGAAGAAGGGAATACAATACAACACAGATAAGAGAACCCAACTCAGAAAAACAAAATGTTTTGAACAAAGCCGGTAAAAATAAACAAAATTCCAATATAGTTACCAATACCCTGGAATCGACAGTCCAAGAAAAATATCGACCTAACCACGATAAAATACCCGTTGAAGTAAAAATGGTAAAGAGATCAATTTTTGATGGCAAAAATATGTTTGGAAATTATCAGCCAGTGACCCCCCAACTGAGAATGTGGAAACCTGCTGACATACTTTCCTTGCAAAAAGATTTCAATCCCTTCAATGCAAATAAGATGATTCCACCAAATGATTTCCATCTGTTCAAGAATATATTTGACCAAAACAACCTCCTCACTATGAGAAGGAGGAGAAGTATAGATTCAAGTATGGATAACCTTGAAAATGAAATAGGCACCGATTTTAATGAGATTAAGAAAGAAGGTCAGAATTTCTGGCCAGAAAAATATTCGCAAAATGATGAACTGGAGTTCGTGTTACCTAATCGAGATGAATTTAAAATTCAGGAAAACGACGGTGTTACGGAGATCAAATTTGTTCACCATAATGATAACAAAAAATTCAAGTCAGAAAGGGACAATTCTCTTAAACTTTTCAAAGATGAGGCAAGTGAACATGTTGAATCTCCTGATTATAAAAAAAGTATATTATCTGGAAACGAAGAGGATATTGTTGAAGCTTTCAAAAGAAGAGAACAAAAGAGCAGTGGAGTAACCGAGGCTGCCTTGTTCTCATACCTTCACACAAATAATCCATTGGAGAGTTCTATTCATTCCATGAAAGATATGATGGATCGCAGAAAAAAGAAAGACAAAGTAGATCATTCTTCGATAATTGAAGGGGAAGATGGTGCTCCCGTTATTGAAGATTCTTTATACTCATACCTGTTTGAACCTAATCCCTTGGAAGAGTTATCAAAGAATGACGAAAAGGAGGAGGGCATTGAAACAGTTCAAAACCACCAAAAAACACATCCTGCTTCCCAGAATCTTGAAGAAATCGATACATTGATTCCACATGAATTTGGGAATGGTTTATTGAAAGATAGTATGAAAAAAATGATGGAAGATAAGGAAACTCATAACAAGTATGATCATATCACTGATGAACCCATCATTGAAAATGTTACTGAAAATACGTCGAGTTTCTTTATTTTTGGTAGAAACTCAAGAGATGAGGTGAAATTAACTGACACCTTGGAAGAAATAAAACACAATAAAACAAATTCTAACCAGAATACAGTTAACAATATTCAGAAAATACCTATTAAGAAAGAACAGAAGATGTTTGAAGATCTAATAAGTAATCTGACAGGTTTTTTCTCTAAAATCAACAACCAGATCCAGAATTATGTGAAGCAAATCATTAACTGATTTCAAGATATGAATTCAGATTTTTACTTTTGTATTTCTCGCCTAGTAATAGTTCAGTTAGTTGTTAGGGGTTTCTTGTTGTATATTTTATATTGTTTCAATAAATAAGTGATGAAAAATTAGCAGTTTTTCTAGGGATCACATTCATCCATGAAATTTTGAAATAAGAAAATTGAAGACGTTGACAAAGAAAAGGTTATAACAAGCATTAATTGCTTGGAAACATTTTCTTCATTATTATATTAATTGCTTTTGTCATACAAACATGTTATAGAATGTTGGTTATTGTGAAAGGACCCAT